TTTTGGTGATGGTTGAAAGCCGGATTTCCCGGAGAAAAAGCACCGACCTACGGCCAGTACCTGGTGGCTGACCCACGGAGGCCTCAAACCCGCGACCCACTGGTGGGGGGCAAGTGGTAGCCGAATGTCGGACGCCTTTACCACTTGGCCACCGCGGCCCCGTCTTGACGTACATGTAGAATGACCACTTTTTCAGAAAAAAATCAAGCATGCCAGCTATTCCAAATAACGAGAACGTTTTTAGAAAAATGGATGTCGCTGACAATATTCATGTTTACGATTTTTTTCTTGGGGTTTCTCCGTTTTTCTCAATGACATCTCTGTATGTTGACATTGCGGTGGCCGAATGACTAGCCCTCTACGACCGGGTACCACAGGTCAGTGTTTTTTCTCGGGGTAGTCTGATTTTGCTACCACCAAGACCTGACACAACCTTAAATGACTATAGCTGTTAATAGGACGTAAAACACAAACCAGACAAAGTGTTGACATTATATTTTATATACACATATAAATTTGAATTGTACTTGTTAGATTATTAAACCCGAAAAGAAATAAATTTGCCAAAAAACCTAGCGCGACTGTCTGTATACAAATTGTAGTTCGCGTCCTGGTTAACAGACAAATAAAATACACAGAAAAGCAAACTTTTATAAAATTTTCAAATCTAACTACAAAATCATGGGTTGTATTATATCTACTCAGACAAATTGGTAAAGGAATGACGTCAATCGAGATACATGATGTCTGGACACATGAGTTCAACGTCAACTCACTTTGTGAAGCACTAAAAATTACACGTTGTAGTAAAATATTGCCATGTAATGGAACAATAACTAACTAAATAAACAGCAAGATTACCGGACAGTAGAGCAGAAGTATGTAGTTAATAGCTTAACGCTGGCGTAGGTGAAAAAATTGCACATCAGGCAATATTCCTTTTTTCTACTCATAATTGTTGAGCATTTAAATAATTGAACAAAGCTTATGAACATGAATTGAAGATTGAACAATTACTTTGGCATTTAATTTGTCTCACAATTCTCTCCTAAGGATTTGGAAAAGCACATGTCTATTGTCAGTGTAATTGATTGTTCTCGTGTGCTGTATATATTACCATATTGTATAGGTACATATGCGCGTTTTACCTTCATCTGTAAACTATTCATGCTAATACCCAGTCTTCAACAAAACCGTCCTGTTTTCAATTTCGTGTATCCACTCTATTCGTAAAGTGAAATCGACGAAAAGATCTACCATGTCTATCGCTAACAAGAGAGAAACCCAAACCTATATCCGGTACAACAATGTACCACATCGTCAATACATCAGGAAACATCGGAGCTTAATGTAGATATAAAGCAATGTACCATATCCTTAGTAGCTCATAGTAACATGGCGGGTGGTGTCAATAACGAGAAGACGCTTCTATTCCGGAACACCTAGTCTTTTTTTCCTTCTAAAATCCACAGTCTCCATGTGAATCATTCCTTTGTTACCGTATTGTGCTCTAGTTTTTCAGTTCGAACTACGACTTTTATTAACCAGTCTTTAGAACTAAAGAGAACGTGCTTGTGTTTATTGCAAACTTGAACCTCTTTTTAGCAATTCTTGTGTCATGATTTGTTTAGCAAGCTGCCATCGAGTTACATTTTGTACTCTTAATTGAGCAATAAATGCGGAGTTGAATATTTGCTTGAGTCAGTTATTCCAGAGAGTGTAGACCGGTGCGTTGGTGGGGGTATTACAACCAAGGTCGCACACTTACTCTGTGTTGTATCATTATTTCCCCGTCGCTGACTAACAGTAGCAAACTTTGGCGTGTACACCAGTTAAATATGGCTGTAGCAGCTTAGTGCCACGTCAACGGAAATATAAAAATCTTTGATGTTTTGTATTAAAATTGGAAATGGTAATCCCAACAATTCTTGGATTCAAAATAATTTCCCTTAGTTAATAAACAAGACAAGACTAAATATTCCGCTAGGTGTGCCTCAGGTCAGTAAGGAAACGTGTCGTTACGCTGGATGAAGCTATTACTTTCTGATACACAAGTTCCCGTGGGCAGCAATCCTGATTTATCCTCTAATGGTGTTTAATGGTGGTGAACTGCCGTTAAGAAGAGTGATTTTTTGACGTCATTAGTTTCGACAGTGTTAGGTCTTATATCAGAATTGTTATGATTTACTAAGAAAGTCATTGCTCTTAACAACACTATATCAAATGTACGGGTTTGCCCTTTTTAAAGGTAAAAGACCCACATATATCTGCTTATAATTATAAAACAAATACTTATGTAAAATAATACTTACCAGTTGACCTTATTTTTAAAACAATTATCATAATCGTCATATATTAATCATATTATATTTCTTTTTCACTCCTACAATTTTCTGGCTCCTGAAATTGTTCTTCGCGTCGGCTGTGGAATTTGCATTGTTTCTTTGTGTTGGTGCTGTGCATTTTATATCTCACCTGAAACATAATTTTAATTATCTATATATTTTATTTTTTAACGTCTAAATTACTTATGTTTGTTTTATGTGTCAATATGTTTATGAATATTGAAAAGTCATTTCAACATATTAATTAGTGCTTTAATCATAAATTGAAATAGATTACATGTATAGGAAATTATTGAAAGTTCAAACCTATCCACAATATGTATTGTGATATGTATATCACATGTCATATGTTTACTGAATAAATAGTGTTTAATTAAATATGGGTCATGAATTTTAAACTCCGTCCGCATTAAAGTTGATATAATTATCAAGTATTAGCTTTTCCCCTGTTCTTTATCTTTTAAATGAAATAAATATTGTAAAATAATGATCATGGAACAAATTAAAAAATACAATCAATCAAATTTATTGTAATGTCAGGCCAAGATTTAATCTATACATGAATATTTAAGTACTTCTAAAATTGTTTTAAAAGTCCGAGAAATTTTGTTGCCTATTTGCATAAATTTAAGTTCTAATTGTTCTGAATGTTTAATAATGTCTTAATAAAACTAAAATAAAACCTTATCTCTTACAGTAATACAATAGTGGTGTTTAGAACAGAAATGTTTTAAACAACATTTACACGCAGTAAAGTCTTGTAATGTAGTCCATTATTTAGAATAAACCATTTGTAAACAGACATATTTTTTATGAAAAAAATATACATTATATTTGCTTCAATTTATTCTCTGTGATACGTTGTTATGTTTAAATGGCGAACTTCGTTAGCATTATATATACCATAAGCTTGTTTAGAAATAGTACTACAATTAACTCAAAGTACCACAGGTCTATGCGATAGCAGTACTAAAACTAAAATATACTCACACCTATTTTCTTTTCATGGTAGTGATAACTGTCAATTGTTTTGTCTGATGTTTCTGAATCTAACCATCTCTAAAGTCATTTCTGTTGCATATGTATTTTTTCTATCTTACTCTCACTGTTCAGCAGGTCTTTGTGAAAACATGTTTTGAAACTTAAATATACTCACACATATTTTCATTTTATAGTAGTGACAATTTTCATATACTGGTCTAATGTAGTTGAATCCAACCATCTCTAAAGTCAGTTCTGTTGTAAATTTATTGTTGCGTTTCACTTTCAGTGTCGAGATATAACAGCGTTGGGTATCTCACAAGACGATAAAATCGTTATGTACGAGCCGTTTGTAGAACCTGATACTGTTAAGACTTATGAGCTCCGCCTCGGTAGAGTCTACTTTTATTCCTGTAACGGTCGTTCAAGAGACGTAAATTTAAATTTATTTTAGAATATGTTCTGTATCTGCCATTTAAAAAAAACCAGTACACTGTTTAATATTCACAAATAAATACGGTATAAGGAAACGCATTTAAACTTTATTATGCGGAAAGAAAAAAGGTAAATATTTACTACACCATATGGATATTTTATTCGCCATAGACTGATAAGTGCTACAAAACAATGGAAATCCACGTGTAAAATATTCCAAAACCTATGTAGATATGCAGATCAGGGATGTCTATACAATCCTTTGCTACCTTCCAAATTTGGCACTTTTGGCTTCAATTGATTATTAACTCTAGCAGTTCATGTAAAACCTGCCAGAAATAATAAAGAAAAAAGAAAAAAAGAAAAAAAAAACTATCTGAGTATTCTATAATGATTGCTTGTTCATCATGTTTTCCACGGTTGAATACTGTTATACCTTCCCTGGATCTGTGATGAAACACATCATCACAGAGAGTTTAACGCAGGACACGCACGAAACACTTACCCTTTTAAAGAATAGGATTTTCCATCCGTCTAATGTATTGGTCCACTGCTTCTTGTTCTCTCAATGATGTTTTTTTTTCAAAAGTCATGGTAAAAATATTTATTCACTAGTTAAATTAAAAACAAATAAATGGAGACAGAAATGATTTGAAAATCATTCTGTTATATATTCAAGGACATATCACTTTTATCTTTCTTCTACTCGTCGGCTCGGTTTGATTGATATAAGAGGCCAGAAATGTGCAAATATCAGTTGTTATGGTCAGTTTCCTCTCACACGATGTCGTTATGGTCAAGTTGGTCAGACTGGTCAGTCTCTCCTCCTGTAGAACCTAACTATAATCTCACCAACATCACGTCATGATAACCCAATATTTGTCCTTGTACATTTCATTATGATGGCGAACCGCTGCCATATGACCATATTCGCCTGGTCAGTCATTTGTAAACAAAACAAGTACATTGCTTAAGTCTTATATCAATATCTATAAATAGATAATGGAACGTCTGCACGGGTTTTTCATACCTTTTTTGAAAGTGTAACGCGTAACCTACAAGCGTTACTTATCTTATCATTTGTTGGCTTAATGCGGCTTTGTGGTGCCCTAAAAGTTTAATTGCAGCACTAACACATCAAATATATTAACAAAAACATTGCATAGATATGTGTGTAGTTTTGTGAATACGTGAATTCTGTTTTGTCCGTTATTTAGTTCATATATCTGTGTTCTACAGGGCCACGACAGGTACCCAGGGGTCAGTTGTCACGAGTATCAAGGCCTGCAGCCATTACCACTGTCCACTAGACGACGTTGGTCAGTTCTGACCTGAGGAAACAGATCAACGCTAGGTATCTAAGCATTATCATCTTAACATAATTTATTAAAAATCACCCCTATAAATACAAAGAATTGGAATTTCTTTTAAAATATTCATAAATAGTTAAAAATATTTGAAAAAAATATGATCATAATAAATTGATCCATATGGGGATGGCTTTATATAATGAAGAAGATCTATTGGAGCGAGCCAGTTTGGGGGATGCTAGCCGATCAGACATCAATCTGTGGTCGGGAAACAGTTCAAGGCCAGCACTTATAGTATTGATTGGGTCGGAACAGTAGTCCAGGAAAGCATAGCAATTCGGAAAGAGACTTGGAATAGAGTTAGGGAACAGAGGAGACGGGAGCATGTCTCTCCTCCTCATGGAGAGAACAGGACTTTCCTGACCTAAACACACTTTCTTAAAAAAGTAATATATATATATATACGCATGAGTGTGAAATTCAAGTGTGGCGTTTCGAAACAGATATCATTTTTCGGATTGCCTGGATGATAATGGTTAGAATGTTGATATAATCCATGGGATATATTTGGATGCTCCACAAATGATGATTCAATCTTGAACACGCTATGTGATATCTCGGAATGATCACATTAGTCGTATTCGTGGACTATTCCGTCTTTGTTGTGAAAATCCACGTGTAACAATTGTTTCGTCGGAAAATATTGATTTCATTGTGAAATATTTCGGGTAAAATTGGTTTGAAATATCAGGTTTTTTATTTGTCTGATAGAGACCTTTAGACTTGTCGATAACATGAAATGATGAAAAATAATTTTTCGATTTTCGTGCTATCTAAATTGTGTGAAAAACCTTGTGTAATATTTGCGTACCAATAACTCAATTTGGACTGTTGAGGATATTCAGGTATTATTTCAAAATAAATCCTGTGATGTTTAAATATTTGGTTCGTTCGGCAAACCCGTCTTCAATTGTGTTAACCAATAAAAGATAATTTGGATTATTCGATAAATTCTGGTTAAACTGTCAAAAACTACGCGTGGTATTTTAGCAAAGATATCACCATTGGGATTTTTGGAGAAAATTATATTTTGACTGTGGAAAGCCGGGAGGTATATATCAACTCTATCATTGTTAACAAATTCTAGTTTCGTTGCAAACAATTAATTCGCAAATTATAAAGAAATAACAATATTCAGATTTTCATGGAAACTTTGCTTTAATTCTGATTTGTTTAATCTGAGTGTAAACAGAGTTCAACATAGGAATACTTGGGAAATTCTGTTTTGTGTTTTCGTATTAAAGGAAAACACACCATTTCGATTGAGATTTATATTACAGTAAGGCTTGTTTAACCAATTATAATTGACAGAATGAAATCGACATATTTTGTATTAATTCAAATGTGGAATTGTTTTTGTGAATCTGATTAAGGATGACAACATTTCTGTTGGCATTAACGATCTAAAACCACAACTTTCTCGTCAAATACTTTCCCCGTTGTAGATAATTATGCATATAATTATTTTTGTAAACAATAATTAATTTCTAACAGTTTCGTTAATTGCTTTTCGACCAATTTGATACTGGTGTTTTGGTGCGATTGTTCGTGTATAAATAATGGGAAAAGATCGTTTAGTTATCTCCTTATCAGATGATGTGGTAAACAAATTAGCAAATAAATAACGGAAATCTTTAACAAATTGTGATTCTAGGGAATTTACCATTGAAAGCAAGATTGGAACGATATCTCAGAATACATGATTAATTCTGACAAGGTAGGTCATACAACAAACTCTGACACAAAAAACCATATCGGTAAACATTATGTCGAATGTGATACAGAAGAATAAACATTAGCCTCAATTAAATGTAAGAAATACTTAATGCTGTGTTTGCTGGCCATCAACAATTGGAACAGTGAAGGGTGCCTAGTGCTAGGTATATCAGTGTGTCTGTAGTATTATGATATGTGTTCGCTGCATGCCTCTGTCAATTGGAGTGTATAATATTGATATAGAAATGGAAACATTTGGAAATTTAAGTTAAACAAGTGTTCAGGTGGTAATGGCAGAGCTCACGAACGTTCGACAAACAATGGTACCAGTGTAGGCCCAGCTTACCTGTGTGTGTGTGTGTGTGTGATCACCTGTATGAGTGAGGTGTGTATTGGCCCGCCCACTATCTCTTGTCTACTCAGGTACAGGGCAATTAACGGGGGCACTATTACACCAATCAGGAAACATCTAGCATGTACCTCAATGTTACAACCAAATACAGCTCTTATACACACAAACTTGGACACGAGTTCGGCATTATTTTCCTATTCTCAACTATATCAGTTCATTTCTGATCGTTGTGAATTTAAGGAAGCTAAGGAACTGTAACTAGCATTCTCACAAGTTCTTCAGTTTTTCAAGTTTGAAGTTTGTGGAATTCTGGACATTTATCAAACTTCAGCATTTAATGAACGTTGTTGAATTTTAAAAACTTACGGACTTTAAATCTATTACTTAAGCATTTCATGAAAACAATTTAAAAAAGATTTTTTTGCATTTTTGTGCTTTTGTTATTTCAAGAAATTATTTATTTAAGGTTGAGAAGAGCAAAATCATCTGTTTCCAAGAAAGTGATTGGAACTCTAAAACGACTCATCCGGGGAAACCTTTAGGATTTGATCATCAACAAGGGTTCATCCAATGAGAAAGGAAGGATTTATCCGAAACACTCAGCAACATAATACAAGATTGTTCTACAGAAAAAAATAGCTCTTGAAAGACAAAGCAAGTTACTTCAACTGAACAACTCGACAAAAAAATACATAAGGGCATAATCATCGTGACAAGACTCACCGTAGTGTGTAACGTTATACTCCCGAATTTGTATATAATCAAGATCTGACACTTGTATCGACACCAGCACTGATAAAATACACTGTTATAACGCACGTGCGTCTATTAGTGGTCATCTGTTAGCCCAGTATTGGTCAACTAGTGGTCATTACATCCATTGGTTCGATATTTGTACTGCACGCTCTCGAGCGTACCACCGTCCGCACGTGCTGACGTCCTATATCTAACTGAACTGTGAAGCAGTGCTCGTATACATCGGGAAAAACCGCCAGCCACCGCCCCTATATCAACGGGGTATTGTCAGACCCGGGACATTCTCTCCTATACAACAGGCGACTCCACACCTGTACACCAACACCTGGGATCTACTTGTTCACCTGAAGTATACCTGCATACCTGACACCATGGGTGTTGTTGCACTGTCACTTGTTTTGGTTGCGCTTGTTCTGCTATACAGGTAAGTCAACACTGTTAGAGTGGCTGATGTTATTTATTTTGCTGATATATTTATAAACGACAGGTTGTAATAGCTCGTATCTTTTGAACACATGAATGTATCACATGTTTTAATTATTTGTTTATATAAACATATCTTGTAAACACTCAACAGTCCTTTTAGCGTTATATTTTGTAAAGGTAAATAAGAAATCAAATATAATTTGTTCACATTTTGTATATATCATGTAAAGTAATAAAATGCATTCAAATATTATTTTATTTAAAGGTAAATAACATTAAACTAATATATATAATACTGTTTATAACTTTCTTATCAATTTTTCATGAATTATAACTTAATTTTGTTTAAATGTAAACGATTATTTAAAAAAGATTTTTAGGTAATACATACCAGCTCTTCTGTTTTAGTGTTCAATTGGGGATATTAATATTCTATAGATATAATTTTTATATTCAGGGACCTCCTCATTTCATAAAATCGTTCAACAAGACAGTACCAGTTAACTTTGGTAGTCAGTAGTGTTAAATACAATAGACCTTAAGATAGTAAAGCTCCTTCTTAAAATATCAGATTATCAAAAAAACTAACAAATGCTTTCTTATATATAATAATTCTTATAAATATTATATATTGATATAAAATGCATCGTCATAATTACAATCGTACTAAGTATAAGTAAAGATATGTATATAAAAATGTAAAACCTTCTTCTTTAGCTTGTTAAAGTATACAAAGTCATTTAAGTGAAACTTACACCAGGTATTGTCTGTGCTGACTGTAGGATCAACCTAATACTATAGCCGTGCTTTACAATAACCTGGTGTATAGCGATCCTGTGATCAGTTACAGGTAGTTTAGAATATTTTGAATTGTTTACATATTTAAAGCTTACCTGCGGAGCGTGTCTATGTTATAGAGCCATTCAGAAGTGTGTTGTAAACAGATGTTACGATACACCTGTAGCTGCACAGTGTAATATTATTTTGTCAGGTAGGTCCTAAATATTACTGTAATCACCACCAGGTAGACACAGGTTAACAATCAAAGATGTAAAACATGAATTTGTTAAAGGTTAATGTTTAAGTTAGGTCTTCACTTTTCTTTCTTCAATTCATGAACAGTATGGATGATGAAAGATGTCATTTTCGTATTAAACAGTCATGCGCCGTTGATTTTCACTTTGAATCCGGGCTTGTTTTATTATTAAAAAACATATTCTTGGTAATACAAAACATATAGTAAATATGGAGAATCAAAAAGGATCAATTGTAATTTATATAGTTAATGTCAATAAATGAAATTTTTTGATAAGATATATCTTTTATAAAAACGACAAAAAATAAACACAACTCTTTTTCTCAAATCTGCATACCGTATTGCTAGTTAGAATGGCAGTGTTCTGACCGCGTGGATGCTTTTCAATAAAATCAAGATTAATCTTAGTAGACCCAACATCAATTACAAGATGTAAATTTTCACCTTTTCTGATTTTAGGGTAAAAAAATATGAGAAATTGCATTGAAACGATCGTTGAGCTCTTTTTCCCTTATTTTTAATGACTCAGCCAATCGCATGTTTTTTATGTGGTTTTTTTTACTCAATAATCTCTTTTCTTTTTGTTTCAATTTTGTCTTTTCCTTGTGTTGTCGTATTGGATGTTTTACCGTTGTGTGTTGACGCTGTGGTATACTTTTGTCTTTGTTTGTTGACCCTCTACTATATCTTTTGGTTTGTTGTTTTGACGCTATTGTATATTGTTTTGCTATTCTATACGACCCCTACTTAACAGGACTATATCTATGTTAAAACGTTTCCGGTTGTAGGCGACTTCCGGTGTTGATACTAAACGTTTAATCGCACGATCCGGTTATTATCAATGAGGTGTGACGTTAATCTATGCTGATCTGCCGTGTGAACATTGGTATAACCCTACAAAAACACTTCAGACTTAAACGCAGGATGCTTCGCTGACTAAGATAGCGGTTTTAGTGAACATGTGTGTTTAAGTGGTAGTCGAAACAAAAGTAAAGCAGAAAAACACTAAATATATTCTATTGTAAATATTGTTTATTTGATGGCGACCACATGTGAGATGAGTCCTTGACTCCGTGTGGTATCGAATTTAGATAAAGTGTATTTTTAAGCGTCAAGAAATAACGACAAAACTTTAAATAAATGTCGGTACCAAAACAACCCAACAGGAATTAGGTCCCATCATGAATGTTCACGGTAAAAATACCAGAGAGTTCATTATAGAGTTAATAAAATATTGTAACAATTCAATGCTGGAGCTTTTAACGATAACTCATTTGAAATTGTGAAAAAAGTATGTGACCTGTTTGTACTAACTTTCTATCAATATATATCTATATATAGGCAAAAAACAATAAGCTATATATATAGAACAGGGCGCAGATGTATAAAGCTAAATTATTAACACTTTCTTTATAATTATAAAACCTGAAAGCAAAATCAAATATGGTCTGTGATTTACTATTGTCAATGTTAGACAGTTTTCAAAAACAATCGAATATAGTTTAATTATAGATTGTAGTATAATGTATTATAGAGCTAGTCTTGGATCCAGTAAAAAAAGTTGGTGTCACTTATCTGTATTGTCGTTTGTTTGTATTACCTTCGGAATGTCAAGCGATAATGGTATCAGTGTCCAGGTGTACTACAAACTCACGCGGACTGCCTTATTCTTACAACCTCCTAATAATACAACGAAAGTTCACGAGGCTAATCATGTATTAGGGTAAAGGTGCACACCATGTGCCCCACTGACCAACATAGTACAACTAAAGTACAATAAAGTCACGACCAGCCATTAGGATTTAAATAGATGGACAAACCAATCCTTTACTTAATCGATAGGTTTACCGAAAGAAAACTTATTTAAAACGTGGAAAAGAGTTAATTTCGTTATCAAAATAATATATTAAAAAAAAAAAAAAATGATATAATTAACAAATTTATGTTTTTTATAGATTATTGAAACCATTTGTTATTCTATTAATAGAATAAACCAGGCCCAAACGAGTGTAAGATATCTTGGTATAGGTCAGTAACATAATTGTTAATGAAATATTCACCCCATTAAACTGCCTCAAACACCGTTATACTATCTGTTAAACTATTAATAAAAATCCTGTGCTGGCGTTATTAGGGATTTACCTTCTGGGCCCAGTTGTTCAAAAGGTGATTAGCTTAATCAGTGATTAGCACAAATCTTAATTTTCGTGTATCTTTAAAACAAGACCATTGAATTAGTGACAACTTTCAAGATAGCAAATATTTAGTACAGTGATTTTACATGCAAAATTGTGAGATTTTACCTGGTATATTGACGAAATTATTAATGGTTGAAAAATGTCGTTATACAGTGATTAAGCTAGTCACCTTTTGAAAAACTGGGCCCTGAAATACATATAGTTAACATGGATATATTTCAGATAACCAGATTGTGTAATATTCGTTCAGGGGTAAATCATACACAGTATTTAAAAGTACAGACCATACACGTTCACTTCCTTTGTCCTTGGGATGCATTTAATGTAAACTTTGTTTTAAACATTTAATTTGAAATTATTTTTTTGCATAAATACAGTGTAATAATAATATTAATATAAACTTTGTCGTGTTTAAATTCGGTTCGAATAGAATAAGACCGGTGTACGTTTTACACCATTGAATGAGGATAAAATAAAAAAAATATGCAAAACATATCCTAGGAGATCATTTCAGCTAGTTTAAGAAGATATACGAGAGTCGGGGGATGAATACTAATATTTCATCACTGATATTATATCTAAATATCTACACGAATGATATAGAGTATAAAGAATACACATACTGATAAACAAAGTAGGATGTGTAACGTAGAAACTACAGGACAAAATGTGTAGAATTTTGGAATTTTAGAATCAGTCTTTCGTTAGTTACAGATACCATACTTTACGATTAATATCATTATTTTACTCCTCAAACCATTATATCGCAAAAATACGTTTAACAAAATCAAATAAAGCAAGAGAAGAGTTCGGATAAGGATAGTGTAATATAAGCATATATTAGTCTTTAACCAGTTAAAAAAAATATAGTCTATGTCAGTGATTCATTTAGTCAGCTATGTGATATATATGAAAGGAAGGCGTTTCCTCTCATAAGCTATTGAAACAAACATGAATTACAAGTAAACTATATAACTGAACACTACAAGAATGATTTAGAAAGATACTTGTATCAAATGTTCTGATTTCTGGGTCAAAATTGCATACATTTCGCAAAACTCGTTGCGAACATTTAATTATTTAGAGCCGTAAAACATAGACGACACGTTATTGCCAGAAATATATGTTTTATGTGAAAAATAGTGTTTTACTTAGAATGACGATATACTTCATTATGTAGCTAAATACATCAGCATCACAAAGGAATGAAATCGTAATATATATACAATAAATAAAGGTAACTAGACGACAGGTTTAATAAAATATAACATATTTAACTTTATGTCATAATTTACCTGAATATTTAGACAATCAAAGCAATATCGTAGATTTTCTTGCACCTCCTATGATCCAGAATAATTTGAAATTTTGCGTATTGTACATAATTATATTTTGCTGCCGTTCGTTTTAAAGATTCATTTTTCTTTTAATCTTTTCCAGGTATCTACAGAAACTCTACTCTGTGTTTGAGAGAATTAACCTGCCTGGGCCTAAACCGAAATGGGTCATAGGAAACTTGAAGGAATTCAAGGATCGGGTAAGCAAAAATCAAATATTTATTGTTGTAATTTCAAGAATATTTTCACAAAATCTCATTTTTGAATCGAGATTTTAACTACATCCAATAGAAAGATAAAAATGTACTTACACATTAAATTTGTCACACACAACTCATGCATAGAAACTCGTTTAAATTTCCACTGAATTCCGGAAACAATCATTTTGAATGTGTTGACAAACGACTTCTATATTACATCCTTTTTTCTGAATAACATTTTGGTGAATACTAAAACTACGGCACAAGAAAAATCTTACCTTATTAACAAACATGTCGTATACTAAAAAAATATTACAGGATTCCGACAAGTACTGCCATGTTTGCATTATGCATTTCCAACACCAAACACACAGCAATAATAACACTAAGTGACGCGCACATGTGTGCTTTGTCCTATTTGAGTCTTAGCCATAGTTATTTATAATCAGTCTTTCGTTTTCCTTGAGCAATTTAAAAAAAGAACCTTTATACATAAACGATAGCATATATCCGCCTTATGAAATCATATCCTAGTAACACCATATTGCATCCTCATGTTTTCCAACTGTACACGTGTATATCCCAAAGTTCGTGCCTCATGGGCTTGGTATGGCATGAAAGGTATCGCTACAACTAAAAGAAACGTAGGTAGTATTTAGCATACGTTTTTGATTGTACAATTTAACTTAATACATTTTTCTAAGATTGATACTTAAATGTGACATTAGCGCATAAAATGTGCCTCTTTCAACATATATTATATTTACGAATCATTCCCCAGACCATTGTGTATTTTCTACCAATATCTTATATACAGGATTTTAGTAGCAAAACATATTCTGCTCAAATTATCGGGTACATGTGTGACTCGTAGTTATAAACATAACTAAGCTTAACATGCCAGCTACCAAAATTATTAAGAAGAAATTAAAAACACCGTATTACGCAATCGTCCTAATTTTGTTATCAAAATTTATAATTCTCTAATATCTCACATTCGGAATTCAAATTTTCTTCAGTTTCTTACTTCAGTTACCCATTTTAATTTTATCGTTTTATAAATATATTACTTTAAATCAATACCATCCGTGCTTTACATGCATAAACAAACATTACATCAACACACAAATACGTGCTTTGCTTATATTTATATATCAATATATCTATATGTATTACAAACACGTGATACATACTATTTATTTATACAAATATCTTATAAAACGGGATAGCAACAAGATACATTTTATTTGATCGAACTAAAATTTATTTCTAAACAGGAGTGCTTAAGCTTTAATTTTAGAGGAAATCATACTTATCTGTTGTCGCTGTGATATTTTTTCTATTTTACCTTACGAAACCAACGCCCAGATTTAACGTGTAACCTAAAATCAAAAACAATTCTGTTTGCGGTTGTACCTACTCATGCATCAACCATTGTGGTGTCTTTGACGTAAGGTGTATTTAAATACCTCTTATCTACCTACAGGACAAACTTACACAGACCGCAAATCCTGCAGCAACAAATAATTAACAAAAATGACAATATTACAACTGACATTTAACCCAACAACACACCAACAAACAAAGGGGGAACGTCTGCAGTTCCGGTTTCGTAGAGTGACGTTACCGGAACATGCGATTTATGTTTTGCATTTACGTACTAATGTCTTATTCATAATCCTTAATCATTAATCAAAAACGTTTTTCTTACATATCATACTTTAAATTGTATTTTTAACGTAGGTTGGTATAAACATAAATTCATGTTGCTTTGCTTATATCCATCGTAGAGGGTGACGACGACGAGCCCCAAAAAACCAAATAACACAAATTATACCTGAACAAACGAAAGACTGATTCATTAATGTTTAAATATTTATCTTTTCGCAAAAGCTAATGTGTCCATTAATGAAAGAGGTCATTTTAATGGTAAACATTTTCTCCCCAGAAAGACAATTTACACCACAAAATCAGTAGAAGAAATATAATTTTGTCTGATATCCTTGAGTCACCTTTATGATATCCAGTGTAGTACAGCAGACCTAAGAAACATTATTTCAGACAAGTACACTTAACATTTATTACCCAAATACTAGTACAAAGTGATACGGGAGACAACATTGAGTCGTTGTTATAAAAACTGTCGTTAAACACTTACGGTTTGTTTTATGTATATAAGAGGTTAATTTCAGTTGTACACACATTCATTCTAGGGTATATAATCGTGCTTGAGGGACATATTACTGGTACTGGGGCAGGTCTCGTTAATACGGTCACATGGACACTGACAATAAGATATTGATCCGCCAGGAGGTGAATTATAATTCATATATTTACATCCATGGACTCAGTGGCTGAAGGCCTGTTCAGCTTAATGTAGAAATTATTTGATATAAAATAAATATAATATATCTTGCCTAGTATCATTGTTGAAAATAATTTAATTTGAAACTTTAAATATATCACTTAAGATTGAAAATTATAGACTTAAATGCATTAAAATAATATATTGTTAAGGAAAGCTATTTTAAAATGGTCAAGTTTACAAATAATAAAGATGATGAATATTTGGTCAACAGGCCCTTGTGATAAGTAAATATTTTAATGGGCGGGGTCGTTCTAGTCTTCGACATGGAAACAGTGGGCCAAAACACAGTAATACATTATACCTCTAATGGCCGCTGTTGCGCGTCATTGCACGTGTTCGGACGTAGCATGACCACACAAGAGCATCATTATACCTGCTATCAGACCGGACAATACACCCCTTAAACGAACTTAGTCCAAAAATAACTTTTAAATGGAATATTTAGAAAAAGATATGATATTTTTACAAGAAACGGCGCAAACGTAGCTAACTTATCATAATATCCATATCGGATATAACAGTCAACACGTTTATTCTTATGTGTCCATTCTCTTCATCATTCGCTGCATCTATGGTGAAATAATCTGTGTAAACCTGTTCAAAAGTACATTCACTTTAGAAAAGAACCGCTGTACGAAAGTAAGACTGCACTTTTAAATCAAATGTACTCAAAGTTTAAAATTCAATACTTTAATATTGCAATTATAACCTGTAAATTGTGTATAATATCATGTACTATTCAGGAATCATAACATATAAGCACAAAGGACGGGACCAATCATCATCAGTTCCATCACAAACAACCAATAATTAATTCTTTATGGTTTTAAGTCAACCCGGAGTACAGGTCATATAACGGCGGGTGTCAAGTTAGACGTCACGGTCAAGGTAACAAAAGAGGAGAGAAATGAAGGTCTCTTCAATACCAAGCAGATGACTCAAAAGAACGCTCCCAGGGGGGCCACGTATTATTGAATATTCTTTAACAATGTAAACAAATACATGATGACCGATAAAGGCCTCCAAATATCCAATCCATAGCGCCATTTGCACTTTTAAGATAACTCTTTATTTACTGGACAATGAATTATTTTAAGTAAACACGCGCAACCTACATTGTGAAAAGGGCACTTCAAGTTCAGTATGGGGCTTGATGTTATTAAATCTATTTTGTAAATTATTGTATGTTTTATAACTACTTGACCAAATGTAAGACGAGTCGTTGAATCAACTTTGTCATCAAGGATAAATACATACTATGATTATTATTTTATAATCAACAATAAATAACGATAATAATTCATCTAAGTAAACAGCCGTTGAATTCAAAACTATCCTGAATGTATCCATGTGACCTTCATAACTCCGAAGCCATGTGTTCTGGATTTTTTATGTGAACAATTATTATTGAAACGAAACGGTTCACTAATGACCAACGACTTAACGCTTATCCCAATCAGGTCGTATTTATCGTATTATTTTCAGTACTCCAATGCGGTGCTATTTTCATTTATTACGATCGGTGTTACGATTCATTATCAATGATCGGTGATAATAGTTATCGGTGATAGTTTTAAATCTATGAATTGGTTAATGCTTTAAAGATATCTTCAACTATAAATCGTTGATATTTTTCAAGACATGAAACAGTCATATCGTATTTAACTAACTTTACTCAGTCAGTTTTCATCATCTATAAATCGGGGATGTATTCAATATCTAGGAATTGCTGATAATTTCACTACCTGTGGGTCGTGATATTACTATTACTATTAATAGGTGATATTTTTTCATAATAAAAATGTATCCTGCAATACAAAATAAACCCTACCGTAACGGTCATATACCTGCAAATATTGAAAAACAAAAGAAAAGTATTTAAAAGAAATAAGATTTAGGGATTAATACGCTAATGGAGCTTGGTTCAACTTGGTTTTGTACTTTAAGTGAATATTTATCCCACACAAACACACATGGTCTACACTGATTGAGGTGACCGCAGTAGGCTCGGACATGCTCACAGGGGTGTGGCTAAAAGTACAAATAACATTAGCGTACTTCTATAGCGGAACGTTTACACCTGTGTACAGGTGCGGACCAGGTAAGACACAGGTAAGGGACCAGGTGTACTTTAGCTGACTGACCTTTACCTCTATTTCTATTGTAATGATAACACTTACGAGTTTACACGCTGGTTTATGGTCTTGAAAACAGACATTTCCACTTATCTCTAAAAGTGCTATGCAAATTTTTACGGTAATAATTTCTTGTTTGATTCCGAAAACAAAGGTCGTTTTTGAAATGCCATTCGTGCGCTACGTACATGACTTTCATAAAGATTGTGTACATGTACTTTTTTTTCAAGAAATACTCGACAAAAGTGCAAAGACATGTTCCCAGCCCCATCAAACCTCGAGATTATACTTGAAGGGTTGTACAATACAGAGTATTGCAATGTATAAAACATATAAACAGCAATATTCCTTGTAACCCAGTTTCGCTTGTAAGTTATGTATCTTTATAAATAATGAATAAATTCTAATACATAAATCATATTAAATAAGACATTGTTAGTTTTTGAAATGTTCTAGCTACTGTGATTTATATCCTATATACGTCAACATACACGTGT